ATTTATATCACTCATTCATTCACTTACTGCCATTGAGTCAGAACCAACTGTTAGCTGAGCCTCTGTTGGGCTTCTGAGGCTGAAATCATACTCAGGGAGTTTGCCCATTCTGCTCACCCTGAGCTGCCGGTGGATTCGATCAGTCAGAGAGGTGAAGACTTTGAGTTAGTAGCTTGACTCCCCACGTCATGTTAAATATTGCAAAATTATACTGTGTTAGGATTAAATTGCAGGAGGAATTTTTATAGGTGCTCAGTAGTCAAATAGTCTTCTTTTACTTTTGTATTTGAAAGTATCTTTTACTAACTTTGGTTTCCTATTAACTTTTATGAGATTAAATTAACCTCAAAGCAATATTAATTTTTCATTTCTTATTGTTAAGATTTTGTGGTAATTTTAACTAGTGGCAGAAAAAGAAATGCCAAAAACCCCCCCAAGACTTCCCAAAAAACATTCATCACACTGAATCCCACTTTATCAATTCTAACTCATAGTGATCTCTGGATCGATATAATGTTCTGACCCTGAAAAACACATGTAGTTCACTTCCTATAGGTACATCCATTATTCTGATAACAACTGTGTATTGTGTATTATTTCCTTTAAAGAGTGTTAGAGTCTAGTGATCGACACATTCATCCTTAGAAACAATTAATTTCTCCTTTTGCATAACATATCACTATATTATACATGTGTAAAGATTGAATTTCCAGAAGAATTGTTCCAGTTGTCAAACATTAATAAGAATCTTCTATTGTTATAGCATTTGCAAATACCTTCTACTAGTTTTGGTGATCTTTTGAAGTATCTGTGGGCTGCGCATACCTCAACCTTGGAGCACGTTTCCCCACTCTTTGATAAAAGGTAAGAATGGATACAAATACAAAGTGATTTACATATATATATATTTCTTTTTTAAGAATTACTGTTTCTTTGTTCTATTTTATATTTTGCAATCTCTAGTGAATAAGCCTCCTAAGCACCGAAGATTATAATAATGAAACATTTTTCACGATTGAGTTTAAAAAAGTATTTTAATGGGATAAAAATTTTGAAGAAGAAAAACTCAGTTCATTATAAACTTCAAAAATAAAAAA